TTGAGCTGAAGAGCTGAGGGACAGCGCCCAGACCCAGAGTTCAGGCCCCATGACCAACCAAAAAACAAAAAAAGTTCCTCTTAACTTGGGTTTCTCCCTGGGTGGGAGGGCCTAGACTTTCCTGAGCAGACATCAATCAACACACAGCACAGTGCAGTGCCTTCTTTTGATAGGTATGTGGGGGGCGGGGGGGGGGGGGGAGTTGTTTCTTAACATCCCTGTCGTGTGTGTGTGTGTGTGTGTGTGTGTGTGTGTGTTACTAGGGCCTTGTACTCTAGGCCCTAAGTACTCTACCACTTGAGCCACACCTACAGGCTCCATTTTGCAGACTAGAAAGTGAAGCTCAAATAAATCACTGTCTCACACTCCTCCACCAACACAAAGGCAAATGCAACACACGCCAGTCCTCCTTCCCCCAACCTTCTAGTCCACATAGTAAATGCTTCAGCTTTGGTTCTAAGACACTTTCTTTTCCTTCCTTCCTTCCTTCCTTCCGTTCTTTCTCTCTGTCCCCCTCCTCTTTCTCCTTCTCTCTCTTCCTTTCTTTTTTCTTCTTACTGCTTCGAAGTGAAGGGGTCCTGGTAGATCACAGGTGAGGTTGTGTTTGGAGTGGAACAGAGCAGTACCTGAAAGTGATACAATTAAAAGTGGGCGACCTTGTGTTGGCCTCCAGCGCTCCCATGGAAGCATCAGCTGGGCCCCCAGCCACTGGGCTTCAGGTTCCCTTGGGTTTAGGGTCTGGGAGACCCGTGGAGGCTGCAGGGAATCATGCCACGCCCCGAGGGCCAGAGCGAAGACCAATCCAGTGGGAGAAGCAGCAGGGGCAGGGCAGGCAGTGGCGGAACGATTTCCTGGAAGATGGCGGAGGGGTGATGAGTGGAGGAACCGGTCACTTCCTAGCCTCCCCCCTGTTCTGAGGAACAGCGACCCTCCACACATTCCCAATGGGGTGGGGAGAAGAAGGGGCTGAATGTAGCTGCGCCTCAAGCCCCACAACCCCTCCTCTCCTGCCCCCACCTGAACCCTTGACCCCCCGGCCTGCAGCCCCCGCAGTTTCCTGTTTGCCCACTCTGTTTGCCCAGCCCTGGGGACAGAGCTGATCCTTGAACTCTAGGTTCCACATGGCCAGCACTGGGGAGCAGTGACAGGGCTGGGGCTGAGCTTATCAGCCTTCCAGCCCAGCCCCTGCCTGGAGACATAAATAGGCCTGGGGAAGACCTGGACAGAGAGTTGGAGACGGTTAACAGAGCTCTAGGGAGGTGAGTGCTGCTACCTGCTCCGGGGTTCTCTGTGCCTATCCCCCCCCCCCTGCCCTCCCCCACCTCCAAGCACTTGAGACTGAGGGCCCTGGATACTCAGGACTCTCCCACTCCCAGCCCTTCCTCCTCCTGGTCTGGCTGGAATGAGGAGCTTCTCTATGACAGAGGCCCCTTTCAACCCAGGCCCCTCTTCTCCTCCAGGTCGTGCCCAGCTTGCAGGATGAAAGCCGTGGTGTTGGCCGTGGCTGCGCTCTTCCTAGCGGGTAGGTGTCTCTCCTCTTGAGTCCGGCTGTGGGGGGAGCACTTCTAGCTCTGCTCTTGGGTACTGGGGGAATAAGATTCCTCACTAGTGCCCTCTCCACCCCTTGGTGCCGGCCACCTCCAGTGGAGCTGCCTGACCTGGGTGTATCTTCCCTTTCCCTCTGCGCCAGGGGGCGAGGCTCGGCATTTCTGGCAGCGAGATGAGCCCCAGGCTAGCCCCTGGGATAGAATTAAAGAGTTCGCCACTCAATATGTTGACTCGGTGAAAGACAGTGGCAGCGAATACCTGAAGCAGTTTGAAACCTCTGCCTTGGGAACACAGATGAAGTAAGACCCTTCCTCCCTCCCCCCCCCCTGGGGAGGCCAGGGACAGGCTGCTGGTTGCAGGGGGGTGGAGAGCGGGGCAGAGAAGCCAGTAGAAGAGAGGCTGTAGCCAGACTGGCCCCAGCCTTGCCTGCTGTTGGAGGAGCTGGCTCCCCAGCAGGGCTGGAAGGGGACACCCAAGCTAGGTGAGCCAGGGCTAAGCACAGCAGGGGATGGGGGCCACTGGCTTCAGAGACAATGGAGTGGTTTCTCAACACGGGGTACCCACCCAGCTCTATCCCCTGCTAGCTCCTCTGCACAGTGGGATGTGGCGGAAGAATGGAGTGTTGGGTGTCAGAATGTATGGGGGAAAGTAGGACTAGACCTACAGCCCACTCAGTGTCAGGGGATGCACAGGGGTCACCCTAGGAAACCTAGGCAGATCTGGGGCGATCTGAGCTGTCTGAGTCCTCGTCTCTCTGTGCCTGTGTCCCACTCCAGCCTGAAACTCACGGAGAACTTGGACACGTTGAGCTCCACCTTCAGCAAGCTGCGTGAGCAGCTGGGCCCGGTGACCCAGGAGTTCTGGCAGAATCTGGAGAAGGACACCGAGTGGCTGAGGCAAGAGATGAGCAAGGACCTGGCGGACGTGAAGCAGAAGGTGCAGCCCTACGTGGACCAGTTCCAGAAGACGTGGCAGGAGGAGGTGGAGCGCTACCGCCAGAAGGTGGAGCCCCTGAGCTCGGAGCTGCGCGAGGGCGCGCGCCAGAAGCTGCAGGAGCTGCAGGAAAAGCTGGCGCCGCTGGGCGCGGACCTGCGCGACAGCGCGCGCGTGCACGTGGACGCGCTGCGCACGCAGCTGGCGCCCTACAGCGAGCAGATGCGCGAGCGCCTGGCCGAGCGCCTGGCCGCGCTCCGGGACAGCCCCAGCCTGGCCGAGTACCAAGCCAAGGCCCACGAGCACCTCAAGACCCTGCACGAGAAGGCCCAGCCCGCCCTCAGCGACCTGGGCCAGGGGGTGCTGCCCGTGCTGGAGAGCCTGAAGGCCACTCTCGTGGGTGCCATCGAGGAGGCCTCCAAGAAGCTCAGCTCCCAGTGAGGCCCAGGCGCCCGGCCCCCAGCCCCGCCCCAACGCACCCCACCCCACCGCGTTTGCTTTCTTACAATAAATGTTTCCAGAATGGGAAGCAGCTTCTCTCCCTGGGGCAACCAGTGGTCGTGGGGGCGAGGAACACGCAGTGGGAGATCTGGGGTGAAGGGCTGGAGGAGGGACTCCCTGCCCGAGGCTCAGCTGGGCCCTGCTCGGACCCTGTCCTAAGCAGGCGTCCATGGAAAGGAGATAGCGGAGGGTCAGGCAAAGAAGCCGAGTGACCCAGCGCCCCGCGCCCGCCTTGGGGATCGAGGGTCTGGAACTAGGGCTGGCCCCGCAGGAAGAAAATTCCCTGTCTCAGAAGTGATCTGGGGACCCTGAGCTCAGGGAGGTGGCCACCAGCCTCTGGCAGCTCCTTAGAGCTGGGGGGGGAGGGTGGGCTGGGGTCCCCAAGGAGCCACTGGGACTTGAAGGATTTGGGCAAATGTAAATGAAATGCCTTCTTTATTCCAAAAACCTCTTCAAAACTCAGCACCAGTACGCACACCCACACACACACACACACACACACACATTTAGGGAAGCCTACTGGCCTGAGCCAGGTGCTGGTGACTCACGCCTATAATCCTAGATACCCAGGAGGCAGAGAATTGAAGATTGGGCTTCAAAGCCAGCCTAGGTAGCAAAGTCTGTGACACTCTTATCTCTAGTGAGCCAGCAAAAAGCTGGAAGTGGAGCTGTGGCGTAAGTGGCACGGTTTCACCTCCAATGCATACCATCCTGTGTCTTATTGCTCCCTTTCCCCAAATCCTGAGTAGACTGCTATTACAGCTATGTTGCCGGCGGAAAGCCGAAGCGTGGAGGTGTGCAATTGCTCACAGAATGCAAGGCAGGATGGGCATCTGTGATGATGATGATGGTGTGTGTGTGTGTGTGTGCACACATGAGTGTGTGCAAGCATGTTCGCATGCCAAATCCCTGCTCAGAGCCCACCCCTCCCCCGTCATGCTCACATCTGTGTGTCCCTGTGTGCATCCGCATCTGGCAGAGCACCCGGCGTGTCCCCTCCCCACGAAAGCCTTTTGACCCGTGTGTGGGCCTTTGCATGTGCCTCCCGGTCTCCATCTCCAGTGTATACAAGTGGGCTTTGTAGTTCTTAGTTGTTCAGAGCTAGAGCATGTGTCAAGCCGGATTTGTTGGGGGGTGGGGGAGATTTCCCAGGTGTGAGGGCTGAGACCCTGGCCCAGGCAGGTTTCCAGGAGGAAAGTCGTCTCCAGCTGGGGCACTAATGGCCATCAGGATCTAAGAGGGGCACGCAACTCCCGGGTAAGGGGAGTTGCTTTCCTCAGTGCCAATAGAACATGGGCCTCAGCCTCAGCTCTGCAGCACGGAGCAAGCGCCTTCACCTCTCTGCGCCCCGGCGTTTCATCGGAGAGCGGGGAGTCTGCTCTGTGGGCTTGGCACTGTCTGGTGTGACCCTCTGCTGGGTGGTGGGGACAAGGGACAGCCAGCTGGGGCGACACTGCAGCAGCGGGGGCATCAACGTGCACGCTTAACAGGTCAGAAACTGAGGCAGGCACAAAGTGGCGAAGCCATCACCAGAGCCTCATGGGTCTTACTCCAGCCTTCGCTCCATCTACCTCCTTCCTTCGAGTGTGCTTAAGAGGTCGGGCAGCCAGGGTAGAGCAAAGCTAGCTGCTCAGTGTTGGAGGACTCACAATCTCAATGCCAAGATTGACATAAAAGTGCCAGCCTGGCACACAGCACACGGTGTAGCCGCGGACACTTTATCGTAGTGTCTATCAGCGAGTCTGCCATCCCTCGATGGCTTTAACAGTCATTCTGCTCTGACAGATGAAAGAAACTCGGGCCTTGAGCCCTCTCCCGCACCCCAGCTGCTAAGCATGGCCCCCCAAAATCAGCCACAGAAGCAGCCTGGCTCATTCTCACACCGGAACACACACGGCATGCATGGGACACGCACTTGTGGCAGCTTCTCATGCACGTTTATTGGGGGCAGCCTGCCTGGAGGTGGGCCGGGGGTGGGTGGGGCGGGGGTTCTGACAATACTGCCCCTCTCCAGCTACCCCAGGGGCAGCCCGAGGGCTGCAGGACCCAGCGTTGCAGGCAGGAAGGGTGGGTGGATGGACGGACGGACACGGAGCGTGCTGGTGTCAGGCGATGTCAGAAGCTGGGGTTGGCTGTGCCTCCGGAGTGGAATCCCAGAACCCAGAGAACTTGCCGGTGAACGTGCTCCAGTAGTCTTTCAGGGAGCTGAGCCCACCGTTCATCCAGCCCCTGGGGGTCAAGAGGAGCCACAGGGATGGGCGGGGGGGGGCGCAGGCAGTGGGGCACACAGCCCCTGGTTCTCCTGCCCGCCCCCATCTCCTAGCAACGTCCTGAGACATTGGGCAGGAAGCACCTAGACAAAAGGTGATCGCATGCTTCTCCCTAACCACGGCCGTTCTGTGGTCCCAAGTGAAGGCCGGGAGGGCAGGGAAGGGCAGGGCCGCCACCGGCAGTCCAGGCGTCCCCATGGGCTGGGACTGCCAAGGGAGGCAGACTCTCCTTTAGAACATCTCTGGAGGATTCATGAGCTTTGTGAACCAGGCTAAGTCACTTCTCCTCTCTGAGCCTCAATAGACTCATCTGCAAAGTGGAGGAAATCAGGGCCTCCCCAGCCCTGGGGACCAAGAACACGCGTAAGGACATGTCAGCCATGGCTACTCAGGGCAGTGGAATCGGGCGGGGGCGGGGGAACCAGACTGCAGACTCATGAACAGAGGCTGTGCGAGCAAGGTCAGACTCCTGGTAGCACAGGTCAGGACTTGAAGCAGGCACAGCCCATCCCAGCAGCCAAGGCGACAGGTGGGGGGTGGGGGCGCGTGGGGTTCCCAGAGCACACCTCCAGCGCCGTGCTCAGGGAGCAAGTGGGGAGGACTGAAGAGCCACCTTGGGGCTGCACAGGGCAGAAGTGGGGGGCGGGGGACGGCCAAGGCAGAGGTTCCCCCTCAGCCTCCCCGCTGCAGCTCTGCAAAGAGGGATCCAGACGGAGGCCCAGAAAGGCTCAGGGAAGCCCGATTGCATCACCAGAGCCTCGTCTGCGCAAGGACGGGGAGGGGGGGGCTGAGGAGCTGGCACGAAGCACCGGAAGAGAGGCCCATGGCATACCTGGCCTGCTGTGCCATCGGGTACTCCTTCATGCTGGTCAATGCATCCTGGGCGGTCTTAGTGGCGTGATGTACGTAGCCCTGCATGAAGTCAAACAGGGAGGCGCTTTCTGCCTCCGAAGCTCCTGTGAGGAGAGCAGGTTGAGCGGGGGGTGCATGTACCTCCACACTCCTCCGGGATTCCCTTCCCAATCAGGGTGCAGGGTCCCCAAGTCCCCCCCAACCCAGGCCCCACAAAGTACTTACGGGCAGAGGCCAGGAGTGCCAAGAGAGCCAGAACAAGGAGCACCCGGGGCTGCATGGCGTCACCAATCCTGCAGGGACCAGTCTTGGGTGGGACACCCTGTGAGAGGGACCCCGAGGATCCCCCTCTCCCGATGCCCTCCCTGGGGAACGGTGCGGCCCCTAGATGGAGCCTGGGGGAGGGCATGAGGGAACCTCCCCCCCCCAAGGCTCTGGGAGGACTGGGGGAGCCCCCGAGGGCATCAGCAGGAAAACCCTGCAGAATGGAACTGGAGGCCCTGGGGCCGGGGTCTGGCCTGATCTCTGCTCTCTCATGCGATTCCCCCTCAGCCCTCAGCTGCCCTGTCTGGGGTAGGATGGGCATGGAGATGGCTTCTCCTGGCCACGAGCGCGCCCAGTGAGGGGCAGTGTGCAGCCTGGTGCTTCCCGTCCCCTCCCAGCTTTGGGCAGTGACCTCCCCTTCCTGGGCCTCTGTTTTCTCGAGGGCACCATTGGGCCAGAGGGATCCTCGTGGAGCCCAGAGGCCTCCTTGGCTCTGGCAGGCTGTGTCCCGGGCTGGCTGGCTAGGCATGGGGTAGGGGGGGGTCTTCTCTGTCCCCTCCCTCCTGTTCTCCCCAGGGACATTACCTGGCAAGGCTGCTTGCAGGGATGGACTGGGTAGGCCGGGCAAGAGGACTCCGACTGTTTTATATTGCTCCTTGGACAGGGGGTACTGAGGGCCCGGGGAGCTGGACAAAGGTCACGGTTGAGCAGGGGAGCCAGGCCAGCCGGCCCATGCTGCCAACAGAGTTGAGAAATCCCTGCAGACTCCCTGTGCCACCTCCCCTGCCAACCACAGGCAGATGGGCTGCGCCTTGGGTGGGGGGGCGGGGGCAGGAGGGCGCCCTGGGGGACTTCCACGAGGCTGGTGAGGAGCACCTGGGGGCCCTCTTGGCTGGTACTTGAGTTTTCAGGGCCCAGCCCAACCCCTCCTCACAGCCAGCAGGGGGCGCTGCCTCAGACTCGAGAGCCACTCCGTGGACGGGCCCGGGGCACTGGGGGTAAAGGCACCGAGGAGCGGCGGGCAGGACCGCTTAGGGGAGGCCACACAGCCGCGCTCACGAAGCCTGCCCCCACCTGCAGCACCCCCACTTCAGCCTCCATCCCGTGCCGCCTCCTCCAACGCTGAGCCAGGGCAGGGGTTGGTAGGAGAAGGGCAGAGGCCAAGCTGACTCTTGGACCTTTGTCCCTCCCATCGTCCCAGTGCCTCAGCTTGCCCTCTGGACCCACTGATAACACCCAGGCAGGAGCTGGGCTCATGGCTGGAGCTGATTCTCTCCCCCCCTGGCCTCAGCGTGGCACCCACAGCCTCGGGGTGGGGGGAGGCGGGAGGGGGGAGGGCAGGGGGTGGTGAGGCCAGTCCCGGGGTGGGGAACAGAGTTGCTGTGAGAGGCAGTCAGCCGTCCAGGCCCCACAAAGGGTCCCGTCAGGATGGCGGTTTCAGGGGACATTGTCTTCTGGAGCCAAGAAACCCTCAGTTTACCATTTGTTTAATTAATTCATTTATTTATGTATGGCTATACTGGGATTTGAACTCTGGGCCTTGTATTTGCTAGGCCCATTTGAACTGTACCTCTAGTCCCCAAATCTCCTCACTTTCCTCTCCTGTCCCAGCTTGTTTCTTACCCTAGAGTCCAAGGGCACTGTGGGGTTCAGCTCCCAGGCTGGGGTGCAAGCCAAGGTTCCTGGCCCTGTGCATGCAGAGAAGGGCTGACTTGGTTGTTTTCCATCTGTGTGGAGGCCTTGGAGAACCTGTCACCTCCCCTGCACAACCCAGGGCCACCGAGCCCAGGAGTCCAGAAAGTTCAGGCAGAAAGGCCACTGAGCTAGGTGGAGACTCTGGTGTGGGCTGGGACAGGTCTCCCCCATCGCCGGTAGCAGGGGTCACTCCTGGACCCTGACCCGAGCTGCCCTGGTACCCACCGCTCCCCTTTGGAGAGTGGACCCAGAGGCAGACCCAGAACCTGGGAGGAGAGGCCGAGGTTGGGAAGGGAAGCGCTCTGATCAGCGGTAGCCCGGCCTGGCCTCTGGTGAGCGGGCCTCTGCTCTATCCAGGGGAGGCTGAGCACACGCGTCCCTGGGATCCAGGCTCCTGCCAACACCTCGTGCAGCCTCAGCCCTCGGCTGTGCCTCTGTGGAACGGAAGTTCCTCCTAGTAGCCCACTCAGGTCTTTGCTGTGGTGAGGTGCTGCCACCCCACTAGCACTGTCCTGGAAGCCCGGCCTTGTGACTGCCCCTGTGGAGGGGGCAGCAGGGAGGAGGGGGCCTGTCTAGCCTCACCAGCCAGGAGGTCTGCCTGAGCACAGACAAGGAGACGGAGGCTGGGAGAGGAATGGGTGGATTCTGAAGATCACAGGCCCTTTGTGTCTGCTGTCCCCTGAGCGCAAGCCTGGCTAGCAGGCGGCCACGAGCAGTGCAGACCCTTGGCTCTCCCCCTGGCCCCACCTCTGATACAAATCACCTGCAGATGGATTCCCAGCAGGCCCCCAGCTTGAAAATGCACGTGCATGGGCAAACTGGCGCCACCCCTCCCCGGGCCCTGCTGGCGGCTGAGTTATTTGAGGGCGCCCGTGACTCTGTCTTCTTGCTGGCGGTGCTCTGGGGTGCGCTCAGATGGCACAGGTGGGTACAGTTGGGCAAGCCGGTGAGACAGAAGCACCTCAACCCATGTGACCAGCACCCGCTGCCCAGACGGCAAGTCTGGAAGGTCAGGCTGCAGCTGTGTGACTCATTCTTAGCTGGGGGCCTTTGCACCCAGTTCAGGCCGAACTGTGCTCATTTGACAGCAAGATGGTGACCGATGGGTCAATGTTACAAGGAAGCGAGCTTTCATGAGTAGAAACATGGCTGATGTTCAGGGAACACCTACCGTGCACTGATGGCAAGCGTTACACAGCTTATCTCACTGGATCCTCGCAGCCTGGAAACTGAGGCTCAAGAGGTTACAGAACTTGCCCCAGGTCGGCAAGTGGAGCCCACAGACAAACACGGGAAGTCATCACAAAGCCATCATCATCTCCTGGCAAATGAGACTTAGCACTGTTGTGGCCGATTCTCCTGGCTTTTGTTCTACAAATGACTGGACGTCCCGGACAGGCCCCGCATTGCCCTCGGGGCCACGTCCAGCAAGGCAATCTAACCTAACGGCGGCGTCACTTAAGTGGGTGGCCCGGGCTGGCTGAGGGGTGCCACCTTCTCGGTGGGTCTCACCGCATTTGGAGCTGCTGCAAGGAGTCTAATCACAGAGAGTGCCCTGAGCCGCTCCCACCTGTCTTGGGGGGCGAGGGGAGCAACTGGGCTTCATGCTGGTCTCACCCTGTTACCCTAGTGACTTTCCAAGGGCGAAGGCCTCAGCCTGCTCCTTTCTGGAGGGCAGTGTTCTTTCATTGTGCTCCTGGCTTTGGGCAAATCGGGACAACATTACGGTTATTTATTATTTATTAATTACCTAGCTATCTGGGAGGCTGAGGTCAGGAGGAGGATGATGTAAGGCCGACCCAAGCAGAAAAGTCACAAGACCCCACAACCACAGGTGGGTGTAGCGGCTGAGCCCCTCTCCCCAATCTACATAAGGGGCCCAGACTGGGAGTACCATGCTCCCAGGTAGGCCAGCCTGGGGAAGGAAAGTCTGCAAGATTCTACTTTGGTGAATGGAAGCCGGATGAGGGTTTACGTGCGATCTCAGCAGTCACAGGAAGTCTAAAGTAGCCCCAGGAGCCCCACTCCTGAAATTACAGCCCCCATCCCCCATCTTCAAAACACAGCTAGCAAAATGCAGGGCTGGAAGCATGGCTCAAGCAGTAGAGTACCTGCCAAACAAGCACAAGCTCCTGAGTTCAAATCTCAGTACTGCCCTAAATACTCAGCCCTGCGGGCCCCCACTTTGAAAGCACTATCTCATTTCAGGTACCAAGGACGCAGTGTCCACAGGTGACACAAGCTGGCAGTGTGAGGCCCCCCTCACCTCCGCCCTCCCCCTCCCCGCCCCCCACCTGAGAGGCAGCCCAGCCCTTGTTGCTCTCAGCTCAGCGGGGGAGGGCGGGGGCCGTCTCCCCGTCTCTTCCCGGGCGGGGCAGAGGAGACTTGGCCCTTGTTCCTCTAGCCTGGCACAAACCCAGAGCTGCCGGTAGGGCCCTGGGGCATCAGTCCTGGCTCAGGGGCTCCCCTGGGCCCCCTAAGCCTTGTTTGTCTGGTGGCCTCTGGCTCTCCTTCCTGTCCTCCTCCACAGGGTGGGGCTCCGGATGTTTCCCACTGCTGTCTGAGCCCCAGGCTGCCGTCGGCTTGGCTTCCACGTAGTCCGTCTTAGGGTCACTAAAGTCCAAGAGGCCTCCTGGGAATGTGTCACCTTCCAGCGTGGAATCACACTGGAGAGGAGGCGGGGAGGGCAGGCGGGGAGGGCAGGCCCGAGGGGCTTTAAATGCGGGGCTGGCCCCGAGCTCAGACACATACCGAGAGACACGGGTGAGCCCCTCGCTCGAGGACCTCTCTCCAGCGTCCCCTGACGGCAGTGCAGCGTGATCCTTCAGCCCAGCCAGGAGCCCACCATGTTCCTGAAGGCTGTGCTGCTGACCCTGGCCCTGGTGGCGGTCACCGGTGAGTAGAAGCTGTCTTTGCTTGGGACTTTCAGACCCCCATCATGGGGGAGGGGGTAGAGAGGTCCAGCCAAGGCCAGAAGATAACACCGGGGGCCCAGCAGCTCCAAGACGGACCCGAGGACTGGTGGAGTGGGAGAGTGGGCCCAGGCCTGGCTCCCGGGCTAAGCCCGGGGAGGGACACACGTTGGGCCGGGAGCAGCTGGGAGCTGCTATGGAGGAGCCAGGAAAGCCGTCGGACCTCAACAAACTGCTTTCTGTTCTATGCCCAGGGGCCCGGGCAGAGGTCAGCCCGGACCAGGTGGCCACTGTGATGTGGGACTACTTCAGCAAGCTAAGCAGCGATGCCAAGGAGGCCGTGGAGCAGCTCCAGAAGTCAGAACTCAGCCAGCAGATCAGGTAAGGGGCATGGCCCACCAGGCACACCAGCGGCCGGCCGGGGCTGAGCGTAAGCACCACCCCAGTGCTTACCAGACGCACTGCCCGGCCACTGCCTTCCAGAGAGAAGCTGGGGACTCACAGGTACCATTGAACGGCCCCTATGGTGTCCTCCTGTCTGCATGAGTTCAACAAGTGCCACTTCCCGTCATGGAGGCCGGGGAAGGGGAAGGACCAGGCGAGTTGGCCTCTAGAAGCACAGGCACCTGAGATATCAGAAGGGACACTGGAAAGCCACTGAGTACAAGAAGGAAACACCGGGGCTGGGAAGGTGGCCCAGTGGTAGAGCGCTTGCCTTGCATGCCTGAGGCCCTGGGTTCCATTCCTCAGCACCACATAAGCAAAAAAAAAAAAGCCGGAAGTGGCACTGTGGCTCAAGTGGTAGAGCGCTAGCCTTGAGCTAAAGAGCTGAGGGACAGCGCCCAGGCCCAGAGTTCAGGCCCCACAGCCAGACCCCCCTCCCAAAAAAGAAGGAAAGACCATGTGATCCAGTGGATCTGGGCTGATAGGGACATCAAAGTCCAATCCTTACTGGAGAGTCAAGGAGGGGATGGGACCGGCGACCATTGACCGGCTTAGGTCACATGATAGTAGATAAGGACACTCAAGCA